GTGGCGCGCCGCCTTGCCGACGCCGCCCTCGCCCCCGAGCTGGCCGCCGTCGAGACCGCCGCGGGCTTCGCCGCGCTCAAGCACCTCAACGCGCGCGTGGCCGCGCTGCGCCACCTCGTGTACGACACGGCCAGCGACGCCGAGCGCTTCGGCATTCACGTCGCCGTGGAGAGCTCGTATCACGGGTCGGACCGCGAGCGGTTTTTCTTTAGGTACCAGGTCAGAATTGAGAACGACTCGCCGGAGACCGTGCAGCTGCTTAGTAGGGCGTGGACGATTCGCGACTTGGATGGGAGGGTTACGAGTGTGGAGGGGCCAGGCGTGGTCGGGGCTTTTCCTGTGCTGGCGCCGAGCGAGAGCTATGAGTACTCGAGCGGCGTGCCGCTGAGCACGCCGGTGGGGACGCAGAGCGGCCATTATGTTTTCATTGGCAGGGGGGAACGGAGGATGTTGCAGGTCCCAGTGAAGCCGTTTAGCTATCGCGCTCCGGTGGGGGAGGAGAGGAACGAGAGAGGAGAGGGGAGGGGAGGGCCCCTGCCGAAACACCAAGGGGAGTAGGAATGACGATGTGGGGAGAAGATGATACTGGAGCAATATGTGCCTCATGGATGCATTGAGGCTTGATTGTCAGCCTTCAACGTCAAAACGTTTTTGTTGCGAAGCTTTTTATGTACAATGCTTTGCGATCTGTTGATGTTGTTGCAAACTCCAATGATGGAGTCGCGGTTGATTACTGCGTCCATGCAGTGGTCACTGTCATTGCTGTGCCATTTTCTCTCACGGGGGCATGCGGTCTGTAAACCACCGCGTCAAAACCCGTCACCTTCTCACGCCTTACCTCCTCTCAACTGCCGCTATCCCTACATACATTGCTAACTGCCACGACCGCACCTTCCAACTGATTATACAATTTTTGAAATAAAAAGCTCACCAAACCCTTCTTTCCTCAACCACATATAATTCCTCGTCCGTGGCCACCACCACGTCCTCACTCAACCAACGTACCCACAACTGCAGGGTCATCGCGTGCCTCTGTCGCCGTCCGCATCAAATGCTTCACAACTTCATCACGGTTCATATTCCGTCTGTTTTCACGTAACACCTTGGAGCATCTCACGAATAAGCTCTCCAAACCGTCTACAGTCACTCCGGACGAGACATCCAGGAGAAGTTTGCCGAGCGCCATAACCTCCGAACGACTCGCAACTACTACCTCGTCCACTGCCACTTCACCTTCTTCGTCTTCCGCTCGAGTTTTTTGCGACCCTTCTGAAGTCTTTGCTCCCTCGGATTCTATTACATCAGCAATGACGTTGCCGTTCATCTGCGAATCTGAAATGCATTGTTTGACCTCAATGTTCAATTCTTTTGGCTCTAGCTTGCCAGTATCCGGCTCTGCCTTGTCATCAGCGTCTATCTCCTTCGGCGCGTGCGATGCATCATCAGATGACTTCTTTTCAGCTGCCGTCTCTGCCGCCGTCTCAGCAGTTAACGCAGCTTGAGCCGCCGTGATTTCCCTCTGTTTCCTGGAGACTCTTTCTGCAATAATTTTGTTGCATGTTTCCACTAGAGCTGGCGGCAAGTTATCCACCCATGCGTGCACGATGTCAATCAGGCCATGAGCTCTCCGAAGAATCGCAGCTCCCATCTCTGTATTGGGCGGATTATACTGAATCGCATTCCGCACCAAGATATCAAAGTCATTGACCATAGCAAGCACCGTTGGATACCTTCCCAGATCATTTTGACTTGCAATTTTCGCAATATCCATCGGTACCTTGATAATGTCGTAATAATCCGGGGCAGAATCCGGGTCAACCGGATACCAAAATGCCTTGAACCGATTGTCACGTATTAGGGTATCAAGAAAATTTCGCATTTCCATTCGCATTATTCTAATGTACTTGTCTTCTTCAAGCCTCTTCCGATTAACTTCTACTTCTGTTGGAATTTTCGGCCTTTGCGGAGGTGCAATCGGAAGCACTTCGGTCCTTCGCTTCTTTCGGAGACGTTTTGCTGTTGCGCGAGAGAACCGTGGTATCGCCTGAGCCTCATCCAAAAGCGGCGAAAACATACGTTTTCGGGAAGCCTCTGAAGGTGCGCTCAACTCCACAGTTTCGACAAACAGTTCTGTCACCTCTGGCGCCAGCTCGTTCAAGGGGGCATCGGCGGTGGCCAGTACCAATAAGGGAAGGTCAGATGGTAGATCCCTTAAGGCTATGACAAGCGTCGTTCTCAATGATGGAGATGCTGATTCCCACCACAGGTCAAGATGTGGAAGGTACAAAATCGAAGGCACAGACCGCATCGCTTCACGAAAGGCCGTTACTAGCGCCTCCTCAGCACATCTAGCACCCGCATCTGAGTGCAGTGATGGATAATCAATGGCATGGACCGGGCAACCCTCAAAGCGATACAGAATAGCAGGACCAATCTGCGTCTGTCCCAATCCCTTCATACCGCAAATGAGAAGCCGAGGGCGGAGAACCTGAAGGTTCATATGTTTCCCGTTGCCTCCAACAGGACGCATTTTCCCTGCGTTGGCAATGCCATCTTGTGCCTTGCCGATTTCTGCGTCATCATACTCGTCATCAGAAGAGGAGCTCATAGAGTCAGCATCGAGGTTTTTCGGCGAAGCATTGTCAGGCTTATCCGTCTCCCCTGACCGACCAGCTTCTAGATTCGGAGCGGACTCGGAGTATTCCAGACCCTGGGGAAACACGCACTTAAGGATAGCAATGCAGGACTCTAATGGTGTGTTGAGGATTTCCCCAAGGCGTGATGCAATGGGCCTCGCATTCGTCCTGGCGCTACGGTGACTTGCAGGAACAATTTCCTTCATCGCCGCCATGAAGTCCCGCGTCTTGACATTGACTTCGTCGGTGTTTATCAGAAGTTTTTCTTTGGACGAGTAGATCTGAGGGTATCGTCTGCGCAGTGCGCGAATGGCAGCTTCTGTACATAGGGCCTTCAAATCGGCGCCACAGTAGCCTACTGTCATGCTGGCGACTGTATCAAGAACTTCGGAGCTCGGAGGGGGTACCCATTTCAAGGTGTGGATACCGAGAATTTTTCTCCTTGCACGGGCGTTCGGCAAAGTGAATATCAATTCTCGGTCGAATCTACCGGGGCGTCGAAGGGCAGGATCAATTGCATCGACTCGATTTGTTGCCCCTATGACGACAACTTTTCCTCGCGCGTCAAGACCATCCATGAGGCCGAGCAAAGTGGACACGATCGATGAATGAATCTGATCCTGCCGACTAGAGCGAACCGGGGCAAGGCCATCGATTTCGTCGAAAAAAATAATCGAGGGCTGGTGCTTTTTCGCTGCTTCAAATGTCATTCTTAGCTGCCTTTCTGCTTCACCTACCCATTTGCTTAAGCAATCAGCACCGTTTCGCATGAAGAAGGCGACACGCGGCTTCTTCTTTGGCCGTGTCTTACTGTTTTCAGCATTTGTCGGGCTTATGTTTGGCTCACCCTTTTCCGCCTCTGCACCATCGCCAATAGGAACCCGCTGGGCAATCTTACCCTGCAATTCGGATCCCCTTTCCACAACAACCGCCTTGTGTTCTGCAGCAATACCAGCACCGCAATCTGGCACTAAATTTTCCGCAGCCTGCGTCGTGGATTCGTTAGCACCGGCAAGCGGCCCATTGGGCACCACAACTTGGCTGCCATCAACTTGTGCCTCACTCATGACAACATCGGGACTCGGGTCGCCGCGCTTGGTTTCGCCCAAATCGCCGTTCGCGTTTGGCACTTTTGGCGAAGCTACCTTTGTCGTATTAGCGGGGAGCGACTGTACCATATTGGCATCTCTCGAAGCATCTTCTTGTTTTGAGGATGTAGGGTCGTCGTTTTTCGGAATACTGGACTCTGGTTCAGGCCCACAGCTCGCCGCTAGAGCCCTTGCACATAGGGTTTTTCCTGTTCCAGGAGGTCCGTAGAACAGTACGCCTTTTGGAGGTTCCATGTTAAACTTTTCAAAAATCTCAGGGTACAAGAGGGGCAGAGCCACCATTTCCTTCAGACCGCGTACGTGATGGTCAAGTCCTCCGACGTCATTCCATGACAAATCAAGGTCTACCTGAATGGGCTCGATGCCAGCCACACCTGCAGGACCAAGTGCATCGTCATCGGAAGGAAACGGATCTTTGCCAGCAGGGCGGAAGCGACTTTTTCGACGTTCATACCTTCCGCGCGGGCGCTTCGCCATTGATCCCTCCGCGAGCATTGGGGATTTAAGATTATCCATCTTTTTCGCGATCGCATCCCCTGCTCGACTCGCCGCAGCACGTTTTGGTCGTGATCGTGACAACATAAACTCACCGCCAGAAGAACTCTCCTCGCTGCTACTTTCTGCTTCAGCATAGTAGTCCGAGGCTCTCAAAGAATCATTGCGTGGGCGGTAACTTTTTCTTACTTCGCGAGCGATGGGATTCTCCTGGCGCGGAGGTCGTTCCTTGGTTCGTTGCCGCTTTGAGCGCACAGATCGTCGGGGCTGTGTCTTCCGATTCCGCCTGGACGAAGCTCGTCTTGGACGCCTAGGAACCTCGACAAAATCGCTATCATCCGCAAGTGCATTGTCGGGTATCCCCGTATCAGGCATATCCTGGTCCTCCGATTCCTCACCGGTGCCTGGGCTCGGGAAATCGCCATCGCCGTCTTCCTCCCGGCCTGCTTCCTTGCGCGTGGTGCCATAGGTGGCCTGGCGCGTGGAAGCCCTGGTGGCCTTTGCGATTCCATTGCCCAATGAGGTGTCTTTTGCGTCAACACTTAATTGGGGGCTCTCTAATTGTGAGGATGTCTTGTTTCTGGTGCTTCGGCGATGCCCATTAGATGTTTCATCCTTGCTGCGGGTTCTCAAAACGCGCGTGGTTTTGTCCTGGATACGAGGGGGGACGCTGCTGCTGCCGTCCATGAAGACATCCTCGTCGTCAAAGTCATCATCCTCGTCCTCATTGAGAGAATAGGAAGGCCGTGCTTGTCGGATACGGGTTCGCACGCGGACTGAACTGACCCCCGGACTGTACGGGAAATCTGGTGCAGCCTTGGAGCGACGACGGGTCAGACGGCCGAGACGGGTAGGGTTTGCAGGCGCAGGATTGCGACGGGCGCGGATTGGGGACATCGGAGTCTCTAGCTGACGCGGCTTGACCTGGCGGCCAGATTTGGTGACGACAGCCACAGAGGTGGAGGATGCGCCGAGATATTCCGCACCCATGTCCAGTGCATCGTCATCGTCATCGTCGTCGTCATCATCTTGGTGGCTTTCGTCACTATTTGAGTGATGAGCGGGGCGAGGGGCGGTATATTGAACAAATGACTTGGGGTCATGGTGATCGTCATCCGGATCATCGTCATCGTCATCGTGGTGGTGGAGGCGGTGCGGCGAGTGGGCATCGATATCGCTATCTATAGTAACGACCCTTGCATGCGAGCGTGAGGAGCGGCGACGACTTGGCTCGCGATTGCCGAGTTCAAGCTGGTGCTCGAGCTCCTCCTCGTCTGACTGTTGTTGCATGCTAACGCGTGCCATGGCGCGGACCTTGGACGAGCGGACGGGCCGCTTGTCGGCGCCCATGGTGTTTTGCGGCGGGGGTGAATTAAGAAAGCGAGAAGGACGGAGCGGGGCGGAGGGGGGGGGGAGAGATTACGGTGTTGTCGGTTGGCGGTCGGTGTGGTGGGGGAGGAGGGTGCTTCGGGGGGGGAAGCATGGAGATGACAGTCTTGTCGGTGGGCTCGATTTGAGGATTTGGTCCGTAGGTGAGGGGGGGAGGGGAAGGGGCTTCGACCTTGGTTTTGGGGGATTTGAGAGGGGGGGGGGGAACACACTGTGCACGGCGTTGGCGCCAATCCTGAGCTTACAGATGAAGTGCACCCGCTGCAGTGCCACGGCCCCGCAGCGGCTCCGCTGTAATTGCCGATGGCAGCTGGAGCGCGGTCGGTCCTTACAGCCTGATGGTCCTTACAGTCTGAGGACAGGTGTAAAGTTGTCGAATTGGGCCGTACAGTATTACAGTGAGGAGAGGTAGGAAAGTCGTTGGAGTGCGTGCAATCTTTGGGCAACGGATGACTCCCATTACGCAAACGCAGCGCTCGTCCTAAGCCCCCATCATCCATCTCGCACCCCACGCCCGCCGCACCCCCCTCACCTCCTGCTCCTCCTGCTCCTCCTCTACGCATCGCTTTTTCCCCTCCTCCGCACCGCTCCCCCCCCCCCCCCCCCCCCACAACAACCCGCACTATGAACGACTCGCAAGTCAAGCAGCAGATCCAGCAGATGGTCTCCTTCATCAAGCAGGAGGCGGACGACAAATCCAACGAAATCCGCGTCAAGGCCGAGGAGGACTTCAACATCCGCAAGCTGTCCGCCGTCGAGTCCGCGCGCGAGAAGATCCGCGCCGAGTACGAGAAGAAGGTCAAGCAAATCGACATCAACCGCAAGATCGCCAAGTCGACGGAGCAGAACGCCGCGCGCCTCGAGGTCCTCAAGGCCCGCGACAACATCCTGCAGGAGACCATGGACGGCGCCTCCAAGAAGCTCTCCGCCATCCCCGCCGCAGACCCCGCCATGTACAAGAGCATCATCAACGCCCTCGTCATGCAGGGGCTCGTCGTCCTCGCCGATGCCGACGTCGTCGTCCGCTGCCGCGCCGCAGATATCGAGCTCGTGGACGCCCTTCTCCCCTCCGTCACGGAGGAGTACGTCGCCACTAGCGGCTCCCCGGTCACCGTCAACCTGGACCGCAACACATTTTTGGCAGACAGCTGCACTGGCGGCGTGGTGCTGCTGAGCCGGGGGGGAACTATCGTCGTCGAGAACACTTTTGAGAGTAGACTAGAGATTGCTTACCAGCAGAATCTCCCCAAGATCCGCGGCATGATGTTTGGAAACCCGTGATTCCCCTTTCCGTCCCGTCAGACGCCCGTCACATGAGCCCGCTGTTAACTTTCTTTTTGTCGCATTATAACCGTTTTAGTCTCACCTAAATATATGCGGTTCAACTAAACTTGTTTCGACTCAATTCCGTACTTTCCTTATCCACACGCGCTTTCAACGTACAAACGCCGATCGGAAGGACAAAACCTCATTTACAATCCATGATACCTATTCGCCAGGCACATGGCTCTGTGTGTTTCTAAACACAGTGCAAGCATTTCCCTTCCCTACGCCACACCAACCACAATCCCCTTACCAGCCACGACCGGCCACGAACACTGGCACCTACAGATCGATTCTTCTACTTGGCGTGCGTATTGCTAGCCAAGTACTCGACGGCATCTCCGCAAGACAGAATCTTCTCTGCGTCCGCGTCTGGAATCTCGATCGCAAACTCGTCCTCGAACGCCATAACCAGCTCGACCGTGTCCAGGCTGTCCAGCCCGAGATCGTTAACGAAGTGCGATGCCGCGCTCACTTTCTCAGGTTGCACCTGTCCGCATTCACAACGTAGCGCAACGACACAATCCGTCAGTCCCGGTGACGCAACCAACGCTCGGATCGCGAGACCCCACGCAAAGACCAATGCTAGACGCTTACCTTTTCGAACTTGCGGACGACCTCGAGTACGCGCCCCGTCACGTCTTCCTTGTCGAGGTACCCGGGCTCCGCGGCGAACGATCTCCACATTGCCTGGTTGGCCGACGCCTTGTGCGACGCCGCAACGACGGATGGTCGCCATGCCGTGGAGGCTGCGTTCGTCCGCGACACGTGCCGCGCAAGGGCTGATCCGAGAGCTCTGAACGCCATTTCTCAGCAGAGATGATGGTCAACACTCAACGGAGGAAGATCCGGATGCTCAATGGTAGCGGGGATGGGAGCTGAGGCCGGTGGTGATCGCGGGCGAATTGTGATGCATGAGGCGGAGGAGAAAATTGGCCGAATTTCAGAAAGTCACGCAAATATTCGCCCTATCGGTGCAGCGGCGGAATCATACTGTGCTGTGCAACTGCAAATCGTGCTTCTCCCGAAGCGCTCTGAAATCCATTGTGGTCACACTACGATGTTCACACTATGAATAGTATGGCACGAACTTCATGCCCAGTCGAGAGTAATAGCAAAAGAGATGTGTTGCCGTGTGCCTTCGAAACTTCGAACGGGAGTTCGATAGCCTGTTTAGGCATGTCGCAGGTGTGTCATGATATCTAAGATGGGTTGTCCGGTATCGCCAATAGATGTCCCTTCTGTGATTACATGTGCAACTGATGCGCCCATACACACTTGGCTGCATCTACAGTGAAGGCACGACAACAGCACCAAAGAAGTCAGTGGTAGCACTACCGTACAAGTATCTAGTACTTGTTGCGACGTTTCGGAGCACTCGCAAGTGTTCGCATCTAATAGGGACTATCCCTTACCACAGGAGTAAACGTACGATGTGTTGCCTAGAAACGACTTACATTTCCATCGAAACGGAACATGCCCCTGTATTGTTAACACGACAAGCGATTTGCCTCATATGAGGCCAGCTTTTTTTTGGCAAAAATGTCTACATTAAATCGAAACTTTTTAAAGTCAGTGTGGACTCCATTTCTATAACATACAAGCCCTCGGCAATAACATCTTGCAAAACATTGGGATAGCAGTTGTCAATACACAGAAAGACTAGGAATCCATTGAAGTTTCAATAGCCGGTTGACATTTTAAACAGGCGTTTTGGTTTCGAAGATATCAACACATAGCGTTTTGAGGTTGGTCAAAGAGGCTTCTTTTTTAAGGCATTCTAAAAATGGCCGGAAAAGACGCGCAGATCTCACCAAACTACGTCCTTTCGCAACGCAGAACTCAACTACGGTGGTGTCGAGAGTATCTTCTTCCTTCTTGTTGAGCTAGCACAAGTCGAGAAAAAATAAGTTGAAAAGTAGCCTCATACCGTATGAGAGGTCACTTCCTCTCAGGGGTAGGCCCTACAGAGTTAGCTGGCGAACGAAAGGGTTTATTTTTCGTCGCTACACGTGGACGATAAACGTTTATTGCACAGGCACGAAGGGTATTGACTATGTGCGTACCAGGTGTTGTTGCTTAACGGAAAAAGTTAATGGCGCAGTCGTTAATAACAGAATAACAGAAGCGTTCTTTTACTTGTGCCACAGAAATAAACGAGGCTACAGCTGGAGCAGTGGCGAACAGTGTGAAGAACAGGGGACATACGAAACGCAATTACTCGACAGGTTCAAGGGCAGCAACACGGGAACATGTGGCGCGTACTGGATTGGGGGTGCACGTGTTTGGAAGGGTACTCCTGAGACTTTTTTTGAACTACGTCCGACATGCATGCAGTGCGCGATATGACAACGGTCGGCAGGATTCCAGAGGCAGAAGACTGGGGCACGGGCGGGACGTGGGGGGTTGGGAAGTACAATGAATGTGGATGAATGCTTGATGGAGAGGCAGACTAGGCGTATTTCTACGGTGGTGGGGGTGGACATTAGATGTGGTGTGCGTAGGAAGCCGAGTCTGCGAATCAAGCTGCGATTCAGGTTGGTGCCAAACTTGCCAGCAGTTTGTACTACAAACTTTGTAGAGCACGGTGGCATGCGATGGAATGCGAAGGAGCGAATCGGGTGGAATTTTGCAGCGTCACAAAGTTTTACGGCAGAAGCTTCTAGCGAATTCGAGGCTGGAAGGTCTGAAGGGCAGCACATGTCGGTGAGAGGATGACGCAGACGTTTTTTCTCTGTGGCATTGATGACAGCAGGCAAATGGCGTCACCTCACTCCGACATGCGAGTCTTTTCGTTTTGGCGTGGTGTGAGGTAGTGCGCACGCAAGCTTAAACAATGGCCGTGCGGTACTAAATTTCGCTACACTCGCCGCAGTGCGACAGGAAAGCGCTCACGGAACTGTGCACTATATCGGAGCGCCGTAGCTTCACAGCTTGCGACACTAAGTGCAAACGATTTCCATCAACGAAGTCCAGCAATGAAGGCGCGAGGTGGTGCGTCTCGCGCACCCGTCCCAGTAACGGAGGTTTGTCCCGAAAAATATGCAAAAAATAAATCGTCTTACCCATTCCCCCACCGCCATGGACAGGACGCGAGTTCAGCAATGCGGCCGTCATGTCCTTGCTGGTGTGTTTTCATCACGGAACTCATCAAGGCGCCCCCCCCCCCCAGACGCCCCCCACAGACGCCCCGCAACCCCCCTCCCCCCCCCTCTTCTCCTCCACGGGACCCACCCTTTTCTCCCCTTTCATTAAATCCTTCATCTCAACCACCACCCCCTCCTCCGCTCCCCCCTTCCCAGCCACCTCCCGCCAGCATGTTCCTAACCCCTGGCGCCAAGCTGGCGCGCAAAGTCGACGTGAACACCTCTCTCTACAACACGATCGCGCAGACGCGCGGCGAGTCGGCGGCGGCCCGCTCCGTCTCGGCGTGCCGCGCCTTCCAGAACCTGCGCACTGCGTTGCACGAGCCGCCGACGACGGAGTCAGTGCGCACTGGCGTGACACGCTACCTCGCCGCGCTGGAGTACGTCGTCACCGAGAAGGGCATCCCCTCCGAGACCGCCGTCGAGCTGCTCTGGGTCAACGCCTTCGACGGCGACGACGTCGCCGTCCTCAACGACCTCAAACTAGATCGCGTCGCAGCCCTGTTCAACCTCGCCGTCTGCGAGACCCACTTGGCCACCACCGCCTTCCGCACCAGGAGGGCCGACCCAGGCGCCATGAAACTTGCGGCGAGGCACTTTCAGACCGCCGCGGGCTACTTCAAGGCCGCGGCAGAACTCCCGTCACCCGGGGGGATTCGTAAGGTTACCTGCGATTTGTACCCCCCGGCCTTGAAGGCCCTCGAGTATGTCATGCTTGGCAACGCCCAGCAGGCCTTGTATGAGATCGCCCTGGAGATGGGCAACAGCAACGCTATTATGGCCAGGTATGCCATCGGCACCAGGGACTTCTACTTGATAGCGCAGGAGACTTGCCGCGACCCGGACGTTGTCAACACTTGTATCAACGGGTATGTCGGCAAGCCAGCAGGCGCCCTCGCCGCCTATTTTGACGTCGTCGCCCAGTCGGCACAGGCGAATGCATGCAGCGATAGCCATAACATGCCTCAGCAACTTACCCGAATCTCTATGGCAAGCAAATCCGTGCAAACTGGCCTCACAACCGTTACTTCTCTAGATACTTCCTCGCTAGCCGCAGTCGCCACCCTCAAGAACAAGCTCGTTGAAGCTCTGAATACCCTCCAGCTCAACATTAAGAACAGAAAGGACGATGCCGAGCAGGAGAATAGAACCGTATATTTTTGTTCCCCGGCTCCGTCGTGTCCTCCGATTACTGGTAGGCAAAGCGTCAAGCCGTCCGATATCAGTATCATCCTCCAAAATGAACCCGTGGATGAACGCCTCAAGGTACTAGATGGACTCCCGGAGCCCCTCTCAACGGAACTCACAGGTGTCGCTGCATGGTATTCAAACATGGTTGCGCAAACCGTCGCGGAAGAGGTTTCCGCCATTAACACGACTGCAGTTCATTTGCAAGAAATCATCATCAAGGTTGAAAAATGCATTTCCTCTACTCGCGCTTCCATTTCAGCTGAGTCAGGTCGGCCCGTTTCGTGGCAACCAGGCCCTTCATCGACAGATGAGCAGAATGCCATTGACATATTGCGAGATGCCCAGGAGGGTGGCGGCGTTTCTAGGTTGTCAGAACTACAGAATGAAGTTCTGAAGCTTGCGACAGAAGTGAAGTTGCAAGTTCAGGGGGTTGAGGGCCTGCTCCACATGGAAGACAGTGAAGACAGGCAGCTTCGATCTCGAATCCATGTCACGCGGCCGACTAGTGCGAGTCTATCACATCCTTACCTTAGTCATCTTCAGACGATCCGCGGGGAAATGGAGCAGGCCGCAAATGCAGACTTGATAGTGAAGGACCAAATTGCAAGTCATGCAACTGGTATGCGAGAAATGGAGCAAGAGGACATTAGAGGGTTTTCCGCTCCAACCGCACGCCCCACGCCCCCGCCTTCCTCTGGGAAAGCGGAAAGAGCAGAAGCAATTATTTCAGAGATGCAACCAAAGGTAGCAACTGGAAAACGCCTTCTCTCTGAGAAGATCTCCGTCATCCAAGACTTTGAAAAGAAGAAGCATCTAGAAAACCCCTATGCTGCGACCTCTGGAATTCCGGATGGAGATACTGAGCGATGCGATGCATTGATTAAGCAGGTGTATGGCGGTTTGCAGCAACGAGGAACAGACATGCGTGCAGAAATGGAGGCTGTTGCACAGTTTTTGTCCGATGCGAATGTTCGTCTAACTTTGCCAGCACCGGCGCAGACCAACTACACGGCAGATGCCGACAAACAAAAGATGATTAATATTTACAAACACCAAGCCTCAGCACAAAAGTGCAAGGAACTCTTGGGCCACCTGAAGGACGGCGTTATGTTTTATACAATTCGCCAAGATACGCTTTCTGCTCTGAGAAGGGACGTGGAAGGATTCGTAGTCGCTCGACGGGCCGAAGCTCAAGACCTTCTCAGAGTCCCACAATATTCCAGTGGACCAGGATACCCACCGCAAGGCAATCTATATCCGTCTGGGCCACATCAATGAGTTAACTGGCGCACAGCCATGTCTTCCGGGCGCTCCGAAGCACGAACAGGCAAGAAGCCCCAATAGGCAGGACAAGAGCCAACACGAATCTCAACAAACCGTATCAAAGATCACCAGGATTGTGGAGACGTCAGTAGTCTCAGGTTGGGCCGCCCGACTCCGCGGACAGTCATGTAGAATTACAACATTTAAGTTGAGAAAGGCCGTACGAAATCTGAGTATAAACACTAATGCCATTAACATTATGCATAAAACGTGGTCGCTCGAATCTGGGGAGACGAAATCTATGGCAAGCGATGAACACTGAGCAGAAATGATTAGAACCACGCAAGCGAGATTAGCACTAATTTCCTTGCACTGAACAAGTTCCATGTTTCGAAAAAGTCTACGTCGAGCGTGCGCGATTTCGTTCCTCCTCAACTCGCGTCCGCTGGGAAAAGGATCTCTGCCAGTCGTTCGGGAGAAGTTCCACTAACCGCGCACGCGCAAGTCAGCTGGAGCTGCGTGGAGATGCGAATCATCCCAACAATGCAGCCAAACTCACGAGCACAGACAGGCCACATGCTGCAGGACGGGTACATGGCAATGGCAAATTGTTGCTAGTTTAATACGCCAAACGGTTGTCTACCCTCCAAACCTGCTGAGAAGATTTTCGATCGCTGCCGAGACGTTGCCCCGTGATTGTTGGAGTGCTTGGAGGCACATGGACTTGTCCAAGAAGCCCATATCCCGGAGCTGCTGAAGCTGGGTACTATACATTTCCTCAAGCTGTTCCTGCGTCATCTGTGGTTGCGCGGTGTTGGCCCCCGGTGCCCCTCCAGCTGCCATGGCGTTCATCATCGCCATAAAGCCATTCATCTGCGCCCCCGCATCCATGCCTCCAGTCGCTTGTGGTGTGGGGGATGGCGTCTGACCCGTGTTGGGCGTCTGACCAGCGCCCGTCCCCGGTGGAGTGGGCGTTGCGCCGGGCGTCGCTCCCATGCCCATACCACCGAAAGCATTTTGCAGCTGCCGCATGCTTCTCATAACCTCGGGGTTCATCATGGTCCGCAACATCTCCGGGTTTTGAAGGACTTGGGCCATTTGCGGGTTGTTTTCCATCGCGGCGCGCATGGAGGGGTCGCTGTTGATCATGGCTTGCAGGGTTTGCGGATTGCTCAGCAAACTATCCATCATCTGTTGCATCATAGGGTTCTCCATCAATTGGGTGAGCTGTTCTATGTCCATTCCTGGCGGCAAACCCGGCATCCCTCCGGTGCCCATTCCCATACCAGGAAAGCCGGGCATAACCCCCGGCGTACCACCCGCAGCGCCGTTGTCCGCTCCGCCCACACCTTGAAACAATTGCGCAAAAGCGTTACCGTTGGCAGTCCCAGCTGTGGCGCCGGTGTTCATAGTGGGCTGAGCTCGCGGGGCGGCATTAGGTTGGACGCCATTGTTTGGGGCCCATGGGTTGGGCATCGGCGTATTCGACGGGGTATTCTGCTGGAATAGCGATGCAAAAGGGTTGTCATCCGCGGCATTGGGGCGATTCGCGTTTGTTTGGTTGCCTGGGTTGAAGCCCTGAGTAGCGTCCATCAAAGGGGCCTGGATGTTTTCGTGCATGCGACGCAGCGCATCAAAGCCGCCCGGCATCATTTCAATATTGGCCATCTGCCTATCCGTGTTCCTCATCATCTCGTTCATGAGTGAGGGATTTCTTGCCATTTGCATCATCTGGCGAAACGTAGCCGGATCATTAAAGACGTGTGCCAGCTCTGGATTTCTGTCGAGCAGGTCTCTCATCTGGGGATTGGCCATCATCAAACTGCGTGCGACCTGCGGGTTGTTCATAATGTTTTCCATGAGGGGGGAGTTCATCATGGCTTGCATTTGCTCTGGGTTCTGCAACAGCTGCTGCTGCATCTCAGCCATGTTGGGCATGCCGGTGGGGAGTTGCGGTGCCGGGGCGGCGTTTGTTTGGTTACTCGACGGTGCGGTCGGGGTGGAGGGTGTCGCGTTGGCGGACGCAGAGGGAGCGGAAGACGGGGACGGGACGACATGCATGCTCTGGCCAGACTCCAGGCCGTGCTTGGCCTTAATCTGCTCGAAAGTTTGGGCGTCTTTGAGGATGTGACCGCGGAAAATTAGGCGCTGCGAGGCGGCGGGGATGCCTGTTGAGGTGGCCAGACGGACCTTGAAGTCGGCAACAGTCTCGGCGAGCGAGGAAATCTGCATTTCGAAGCGGGTGCCCGTGGTGTTCTTGACGATGATGTTTAGCGCCATGGCGAGGAGGGAGTAGGGATAGGGGGAGGGAATGAAAAGTGAGGGGGCGGGGGGAATGAGAAAGGGGGAGGATGGGAAAGGGGGAAGATGGAAAAGGGGAGGAGGAAGGGGGCGGAATAAGTGACGGTCGGGGGAGCGGGAGGACGGTTAAAGGGCGGAAAGGTCTCGGACGGGTGGGGGGAGGGAAGGAACGGAGGGAAGGAAACGGTGATTGCTGTTTGATGTGAAGGCAAATAGAGCAGGAGGTGTTTTCTCACATCCTCCAACGGCTGGCTCGGGCGTCTAGACTGCAGAGCACTGGAGTAGCTTTTTTCGCGAGAGCTGCGAGGCCGACAATTGGACGTCACGTTGAAATTTGCCAGCGGGCCCTCCTGCGCACTTTTCTTCCCTTAATTTCTTTCCGCTTCTAGATATTTCTTCCCGGTAATTGCTTTTGCCTCGTATTAATTTTCCATTTTCACCAACTACTGTACCCGTCCCATCGCCACACTAAAAAAGTGGAAATCACAAAAGAATTCCTGTCCACGCGATTTGGAAACGAGTGCAAGACCCACCACGCTCTGCCTCGCCTCCCCTGCCTTTTGAGAATTGTTACGTGTCGTAAAGCGCGTAGGCCCTGCGTTGACGGTTACAACAAGCTCGACGCAATGCTTAAAGCCAACAAAGTTTTACTGCGTGAATTGCAAGGTAGTACAGTATCGTAGCAACCGCAGCAGATACTCATTGTGCATTCGCAGTTCTGTTTCTGACTCTTCTGTTTCTGTATGTTCTGTTTCACAAACAATTCCCACGCTCCCACAGCACATATCCGCTGCTCTGCACAGTACAATTCGGGCTAAGGCCCTGAGGTGGCTTTGTGTAAGGGTGAGTCGCACGTGAGCCCCGGGTCATTTTGCGACCATTCGCCGGCGCATGGCTCTTTTCGCATGCGCCAATTTCGACGCGTCCACTTGGACTCACCCGCGATTCCCAAGCCTTTATACCACATATCAATGATCGCAGGAGCCTCGACCCCATCGCCTCAGATCGGTGCGCTACAGTTGCGCACAATCGTCTACAGCAGAGAAGCTATTGACAGTACCCTTCGAAGGGTACCCGTTTCGTATGAAGACTGGCCTTTTGTGTGTACGTGGAATAAATCCCTCTTCCTGTCGAGAAACCGATGCCGCCGGCAGCACCGTATGTCGAATGTGTCTTTGCAATTACTGTAGGTGTGATGTCACTGGAACGCACATGCCCACGCGTGATCAGAGCCTCGTGTTTGGTCTTGACAAACCCGCCCTTCCCCACATTCCATCCCCTTCCGTTCCGAAATCGCTGACCCCCCAACAAGGCCTCACTCCCTGAGGGTGTTCACCTCTCTCCGGGTCTCGCGTGCACCCCGCAGCCCCTCACAGTGTGATTGTGCAGATGTCGAGAACCGACCTCACAGGCTCCCCATCCAACAATGCAAGCCGCCACTCCAGCAATGCTGCAACGCCCCAGTCGTTACGTGTAGCTCCTAGATCCAATCATTTGATCCGAACCGCCCATAGTGGCACAGCTGCAGCCGGCAGTAGATACCATGTTCATCATACTGTACCAAAAAATAGCCCCCACCATTTGCCACAATAAAAAAAACCTCCCTCTTCGCCACCCTCACGCACCTACGAACCCCGCGATGTAGACCATGCCCTTCACGCAACAAGCGGGGCACCCGTTTCAGACCCCCATCCACCCCCCCGCCCCCCCCCTTCTGCGTACGCGCCCATCCGCACCCTCCTCCCTTGAGCCCATGGAGTCGTCCAGCATGCCGCCCGTCGTCGGCGCCACCGCCCCGCCGCCGGAGGCCTTCGCGGACATCGAGAGCTCCGCCGACGCCGCCGCAACCACACCCGCTGCCGCCGCCACCGCCGCCGTCCTTAAACGCATGGGCAGCGTCCCACTCCAGCCCATGCCTGGCCTTGGCGTGCTCGGCGTCCACGAAGCATACGTCCGCAGCCTTGTGCGACGCGCGCCCGACTGGCCAAAGAAGGGCACCGCATTCCTTGATATGAACCCTTTGCTTGCAGATGCGCGCGCGCTAAAGCAGTGTATTGACTCCCTCGCGGAAAGATATGGCGGCGGCTTTATCACGCACGTCGCCGGCATCGACGCCAGGGGGTTCACTGTCGGCTGTGCACGTACGTTTCCCCCTCCCCCCCCCCCCA